GGGAGATAAGTTCAGAAAGGTTAAATGCCTTGCTCAAGGTCTAAAACCTAGTGAAATCTGACAACCTTCAACCACCCCACTCCAGCAATGACCTCATCTGCTAACTGCATCATCACACCAAGATGAGACCACATCCTGGACATTCACCTGCTGCTTTACCTGCACGACATCGTTTCTGCTCTTCTTTTTTTGGAGAACTGCTTCTCCCCATTCTAAAGAACCACATGGTACTGGTACGAGCTGCCAATCACCCTACCCTATTGGTTGGGTCCACTGCTGGGCCCATCTTAGTCCTTTAGCCCCAGCCACGGTGACTGGGTCTCACACGGACGTGTGACCCTAGTCAGGCCAATCAGAATCCTCCCATGAGATTCTTCTGCCTGGTTTTCTGGATACGGCTCCCTTTATTCTCTGGTCAGGGGCTGTGGAGATGAAGCCAAGAGGGGCCTGAGGTCATGTTCCAGGCCCACGGGAAAAGCCCGTGGCATTCAGGATCAATCATCCCAAGGCCAGTTACTCCAATTCATCCCAAGGTTTTGGAATATTATACAATAAGTTTCTCTTTTCTGACTAATACAGTTTGAGCTAAGTTTCTGTCACCTGCAATAAGGGTGCCTGAACTAATGCACAGAGGGATAAATAAAATCTGCCTTTCTCTTAGAAACCTCTTTTCAACCATCACTTTCAAGTTCCTCCACTGCTTCCTTCTCAACACAATTAACAACCAAAAGAAAAACCACAATGGCTGGAGCTTTTACTTCTGACCATCAAGGACAGAGTGGATGAAGAAAAGGTGGCTGGTACCTGAAGAAAGCAGGGAGAGAACAAAAGGCCCAGGTAACCTCTAATGAATAATAGATAATCCACACCTGACGATCAGCAGCCAACTGCACTCATCCCACCGGAAACGCCTGGGGTTATTCTTTTTAAAAAATTCCTACAGCTTTAACTTCTGACAAGTTCAGCCCCAGGTGGTGTATAAACCCCTTGCTCCGCCTAGCCATCACGGTCCTTCAGATTACCTCTGCATCTCCACTCACCCAGAGCCAATGCCCTGCTCACTCAGGCTGGTCTAATTTCTGCAACCTGAAAACACACTGCTCCTCTCATAGCTAGGAGTTTGTTCTTGCATCTCCCACCCAGAACATCCTCCTTTTCCTCTGCACACTCAGAGTACCCCTTCAACACCCAGCTCAAGCCCCAGTCCCTCCTCGAAGCCTTCCTTGGCTTCTCCAGCAAACACTACCGTCTCCATCCTCTTAACTGTAGCGAAGCCAAGTCAGCCAGCTCTCCAGGAAACTAAAGAGGAGGCACAGAGGGGACGAGGAGGGGAAACTCAGCTCTGAGCACGCAGTAGAGAGTGCCACCAGCAGTCACCGTGTTCTGCCACTTCTGCTCCACGAGAGAAGCCTGTTGTGAAAATGGTTTGGGGAGCCCTCCACACTTAGATGGTAATTAGAGCCACTAGGGGTGGATGAGAGTATTTGCGGAAAGCATGTAGTGGCGCTTCAAAAGGAGGAAAAAGCCTGTTTGTATTTGTATCACTCAATTGATCTGTCTCATAATGTCACTCTCCTGAGTGTCCCATTCCCCCAACTAGGCAGCTGCAGGCTGGAATTACATCCTATGCACCCCGGCCCCACGTGCACCAAGAACAGGACCAGGCACCTCAGGCCTCCCCAATCTCATTTTGCCTCCCAGTGGCTGAGACAGGCCATGCAGCACCCGCAGCCCCATCTCACAGATGAGGACGCTGAGGCTCAGCGCCAGGAAGGGGCCCCTCACTCCAGGGGCAGGCGGTTGAGGAGCTGCAAGTGAGAAAACCCAGATGTCAGCAACTGAATCAAAGAGAAAAAACAAAGGACCTCGTGGGTTCCGAGTGAGCAAACAAGATCCTGGTACTACCATGGAAGAAACTCGAGAGACCTGAGCCAGTCAGAGGAGAACAGTTCTCTCCTCTCTCTACCACCAGTGGGGACAAAGGGGCTCACTCCTTCCCTACAGATGCATGAATTGGGACAAGGAAAGGCTACAAAATTCCAGAGTTCCCCAATGCAGGCAACGGCCTAAAACTGTAATGGGAGGCCCAAACCAGGTAACAGGAAAAACCACCCCCAACATGGAATCAGGAGCACTGCACTTCGCCTGACTCCAGCTCCTTTCTGCCCTGCAGCTCCTGGCCTGTCCTCAGACCTCACAGATGGCGGGAACGGAACCCAGCGTCACGCAGAAAAGGCACTAGGTGCCGCAGAACTAAGTGAGACATTCAAGTACGCAATAAGATAGAAAGGCTCAACAGCGATGTACTATCAATTCTGGTAGAGAAGTCCCCCTGCCCCCAGAATAAAACAACTCTGTGTCTTCTTACTCACCCTCATACCCCAGGCCTGAGCATGGTGAGTTATAAACGTCTGGGGCTCTAACTGAGCCTGAGCAGAAGAGATGAGCTTGGTTTGCTATCTGCCCTGTACCACCTAGGCCAGTTTCCTCCCAGTTCCAGGCCCCACGTGGGGAGCGGCCAGACATCATCTGCGTGCAGCACAACAAACTCCCACAGCACACAAGTGCCAGCCATGGGACGGGCATTCTAGACCAGGGGCCCACATGGGATGTGGAATCCATCAAAGGAGCCCCTAACTGGGTGATGGCAGCACCTCCGATGTAGAAACAGTGACAAAGGGGCCTCCCCTTGAGACTACGGATCCTTGGGAAGCCAACCAGTTCCTCTCTGGGGCTCCCACAAGACGCTTGCACTAAGGCTGACTTACAGGCAGAGGTGTGCACCTGTGTGAGGAGTGGAACCTGCTGGGAGAGCAAAGACCAGGACACAGGGCTGAGTTTCCCTGACTTCGGCTCCTCAGGGATGAAACGGGTGCTTCCATTCCTTCAACCCGAGCAGTCCTTTTAGTCACTGAGCTTTGCGCCATAAAAGGGGCTCCCTGGCTAACAGAAAAAAGGCTGCCAACCACTGCACAGTAATTCATCCTTTAAAAGATCCCAACGCTCTGTGGTTCCCTTGCACACCGTGTCACCCCCTCATCCCCAGAAGCTCTACATGGCATCTTGCCAGACCAAATGCTATCCTAATTTTTTCCTAAAGTATTAACTGAAATGAACTTAACTTCCCTTGAAAACCTACACAGCTCTGCATTGTGGTAAAACTAGGGTTTGAAATCCTGCCCTTGAGGATAAAATCCAAACCCTATTTTATCTTTCCCTTAGACGTCAGGACCAGCTTCCAGAACTTCAGCTCTGTGAGGCCCCACCTTCTCTACCAAGCATGGAAAAGGGAGGGCCCTAATTAATGGCAATTCATCTATCTATTCCAGAGATTAAGGCTAGCGCTGATTCAAACACATCCCATTGAAGACTTAAGTCTGCACTCAACTTCTGCGCTTCCTTGATCAACCTCCTCCTTCAAGCACAGAGAGCTAGGTAGACAAAAAGGCAACTAAGAAGAAAAAAAAGTTACCCCGAAGAGATTTCCCTCTGACATTATCCTCAAGGGCACATCTGACAGCTCTTAGCATCATCCCAGGAGAGGACCGGGCTGCCCAGCAACTCAGACACGATCATAACTGGGGGACAGCGTAGGTCTGAGGAACAGAAATGCTGAAGAGTCAGAAACCCAAAGTGGAGACAGAAGGGCCATCAATGAAATGATATGCTGTGTGGCCAGCAGCTTAGTCTCTCTGTATGCCAGTTGCCTTCACTACCAAAAAAAAGGTGGCCAATATCCAATGGAGCTGTTACCAGGAAGAGCTTATAAAACCATCTCCTTAATAAGTGAGGCTTTTAACGGCCAAATAAACACGTTTCATCAGCCTGTGGCCTACAAGTTGTTAAAGGCAGTTCATCAGCCCTCTCTGTTCACTTTTAAAACACGGACAAGACATAGAAAAGCAGCACTTGTTGCTCCCTGGTTCCAAATGGGTTAAATAAAACAATGGGTCATAATTGAAAACTCCTGGTGCCCAATACTTTGAGCAATTTAACCACTCCAAGCTGGAGTTTTCTCTCTGGCAAAGTAGGAATAATAGCGCAGAGAGTGGTAAACGAACGTGATACAGCAGAGTGCCTGCCACAACAGTAGGTGCCCAATAAATGCTGGCTCTTCCTTCCTCAGTGCTATGCCTTCTTCTTCAGCTTCCTTGTCTAAAAGCCTGGCTTTCCACACTCCCCAACCAGGCCACACCAAACCTACCACTTGCCACAAACTCCCAGCAGTAACCCCCCCCAAAACACACACACACACACACACACACACACACGAATACTCACAAATCCATCACCACCACCCAAGGGAACCCGTCACCAGCCTTCCCTCCTCAGGCAGCTCGGCACCCTTAGGGAGGGAACTGAGCCCCAGCAGCTACTACCAGGATTTTCCCATGGTGCAATGCAACTTCCCCAACTTTTCCCGGCCCACAGTTTCCAAAGAAACCTAGCAGGCATTGTGCATAATCAACCACAAGCCTGGGCGAACAAACAGACTGAGCTTTGGGCAGAGGGAGCTGAGAAAATCAAAAAGTGAAAAGGCACCAGTGGTCCCGAAACGGGGTGCCAGGGACCAAAATTCAGAAGTACCGGCCCTGGCCCAGGTTCTATTCTTCTAGACCTTATCACTGATTGAAGGCTAGCAGAGGCTCTCAAAGGACTGGTGGATGGTTAAGAGTCTCAGAAAAGGGACTGACGAACATCCCTCCGAGATCGCCCCGAGGCTAGACCTGGCGGTCTCGGGAGGGCCCCGCTGCCGCGGTACCTGGAGGATCAAGGCCTGCAGTGCGGGGCATTGTTCACAGCAAGGGTGGGATTGGGGGAGGAGGTGTGAAGTGGGGGTCCGCGCACCGGGCCCTCCCCAGGCAGGCTGAAGGAAGGAAGGTTCTCCTCGCGGCAGGCGCCAGGTAGATGAATGGCCCTCGCGACTTCCCCCTCGGAGAACCGGAGAGAGAAGTCGTGGAAGGCGGATCCGAGAGGCCGGGTGGGGGTCTCACACTCACCGGCGCCCTCGGCGGGCTGCGGCGGCCCGACGACGCCGTTCAGGTAGAGAATGGGCAGCAGGTGAGGCTGCGTCTTCTCCAGCGCCGCCCGCAGGTCCTGGAAGTGGTCCCGCTCCTTGGCCAGGAGCAGCTTGAGCAGCAGCTCCGCCTTAGCGCCTCCCGCCTCCTCGTCCAGCTGCCGCCGCTCGCCGGGGCTCAGCGCTCCTGCGGCCTCGAGCAGCCCGAGCACCGCCTCCACCTCTGTCATGGCCTGGGCCAGGCTCTGCTGACACTGAGCGAGCAGCTCCCGGCGCTGGGGCTCCATGGTGGCGGCCGCCCCGCCCCGCCGGACGGCTACCGGACTCCCGGAGGCCGGCGGGCGCGCAGGCGGGCGGGCAGGCAGGCGGGTGGCGACGGGCCCCGGGCGCCTCGGGGCGGCGAGCGGTGGCGGCAGCCCTAGCGCGCCGGGGGCCGCGAGGCCGCGGGGGCCATGGGCCGGGGCCTGGGCGGGCTGGGGGCCCGGGCGGCGAGCGGCGCTCAGCAGCGGCCGCCTCCCGGGCTCAGTAGCGCAGCCATGTTGGTTGCGGCGGCGGCGGGACTGGAAGAGGAGGAGGAGGAGGAGACGGAGGAGGAGAAGGAGGAGGCGGAGGTGGGGACGGCGGCCGGGGCGCGCCCCGAGGCCCGGCTCCAGCCGGGCATGCTCCCCTTCCCCTCCCCCTCGGCGCGCGCCGCTCCCCCGCCCGCCCCGCGAGAAAACTCTCCCCGAAACGCCGGCCCCGGCGCCGCCCCCCGAACACGATTACAACTCGGAAAGGAAAGTGGCCCGGCCGTCTTCGCCAGGCCCCCCGACGGCTCGGGAGCCGCCTCGCCCCGGCTCGGCTCACTGGGGCCCCGCGGCCGCCGCCGGCTCCGCCTTGCCCGCGCCCCGGCGTCGCCGCCGCCGGTCTGTCCCTCCGCCCTCTTCTCTTCTCCTCTCCTCTCTCCCCTCCCCTCCCTTCCCCCGGCCGGCCTTTCAAGCGCCCGGGCGGCCGGCCCCGAGGGGATGGGCGAAGGGGAGGGGTCCCCACCTCCCCGCCCCGGGCCCGCCTCGGAGGCGGGGACATCGCGCGCGCTGGCTCTCCGGGTCTCCGAGGCCCAGGCGGAACCGGCGGTGGGGGATTCGGAGTCAGGGGCCGCGCGGGAAGCAGCCCGCACCCCCAGCCCCCTCGGCCAGGCACACGGCCAGACCCCGAGCTATTGGAGACCCTCTCAAACAAAACCCTGCCCCGCCCCCATCCAGGGTCTTCTAATCTGAGAACTCCAAAATCAGGCCTGTAGACAATAGAGAGGACGTCCCCTAAACTTAGCCATCTCCAAATTTAGACCTCCCCCAAATCTGTGAGATTTCCCCACTCCAAGGAGCTATTATATAGAAAATGTCCCAGTATAATCCCGAGACTCGATTAATCAGGATCTTTCCCCTCACTCCCATTTTAGATGGGTTGGTTCCCAGTGTCTAAAGAGGCTTGGATGTTGGGGAGAGGGGGAGGGGATGTGTTACTGGAGGAGGAAGAGAGCCGTGGGGTCTGCAGTGGAGCCAGTTCATTTTTTTTTGGCAAGAGAAGTGCTCTCCTCCCTAGATGTCATCCCAGATTCTAGTCTCAGGAGAAGGTAAATCAATGGGCTTGCTCCCCTGATACCCTCAATGAGGATCTACAGTTGGGCTCTAAGTCCAAGAATGCCTCCTGCCTTCCATTGTAGCCCTTCGTGGACACATAACCACTTACCTCCTGACTGCAGGAGGAGGTCCTTAAAAGCTGGAATCCCAGCTGATGACTCCCAATAACCCCACCTCGCCAGTGTAGAGTGGAAATCCCAAGGCCATTGCAAATGTCTGTGTTCCATTGAATGATGCTCAATTACAAACACTGGGGACCACAGGTGCCTTTTCTGCTGTCACTCCCACCCCACAACTTCCAGTCCTCCCCGCTAAAGAAGTTTTCTTGGAGTCTGCTTCTGTAAGGGGAGGAGTCATTTTTTTATTTAGTGGAAACAAACTCTATATATAGTGGTTAGAACAAAAGTAGCAGTTTGCACTTCAGTTTGGATTTCCCTTTAAATAGCTACACATGTGGGAACAAATCAATTACCCTGGCTGTTCTCAGTTTTCTCAGGAAAATAGGGTGGGGAGAGTGTATTCCACCAGGGGTTATGAATAAGCTCGAGGGTGTCAGTGAAGCTTTTGAAATTATCTGCACTTTTCTGTAGACATGTATGTATTTTTCTGGGATGGAAGTCCATAGCTTTAATCAAATTCTTTAAGGCCTCCATGACCCAAAATGGACTCCAAAATGGTTTCAGAGATCTCCCTGCTTAGGTAGTCTGGGCTTCTGTGGCTGAGTGAGGTTCTAGGGGAGGGGAAGGCTGGCTATTGCACAGTGCCAGGGGTCTAGATAGGCTCCCTTGCTGTCCCTCCCACTCCTGCCCCTGAGAGATGGTTCCCCCTTCTGGCCACCTGTTCCCCTACATCCTAAATCACCTACAAAAGCATCTACTCTTCAGTACGCACTTGGACCTCTGTTCTTAACTGGATTAACTAGAAATCTAGGGGTGGGAGGAAGGTGGAACGGAAGAGAAGTTGGAGACTAATTTGGTTTGTAGTTAAAACAAATTGTGACTAACTCCTAGGTCCAAATGGTGCCTGAGATAGGAGAGGGCAGGAGGAACGCGTCATCTCCCAGTGACCCCTAAAAGAGTGGTGGGGAGCATGGATGTTTTGCCCACGGAAGCCTTCCTGGGAAGCAGTGAGGAAGTCCATTTGCTAAGAGTGCTTTCTCTCAGGGGCTGCAGATTGATAGATGACTACCTTCAGCAAACTCTTTATTGGAAACTCTGGGGTTTTATGCAAAACATAAATTCTGGAGGAAATTGTTTACTTTATAAACATATTCGACCTTAAGTGCCCTTTAGCCAGTGACCTTGATATGACCTTGTGTTTCTGTACCATTTTATATCCTTCAGGGCACCTTTTCTCATACTATCTCCTTTGTGCCCTGTTCTACGTTGAATTGCGTCCCTGCCAAAAGATACGTTCAAGCCCTGACTCCCAGCACCTGTGAACGTGACCTGATTTGGAAATAAGTTCTTTGCAGATGCAATCAAATTAAAACAAGGTCATATTGGATTAGGTGGGCCCTAATCCAACATCTAGTGTCCTTACAGAAGAGGGGAATTTGGACACAGACACACACACAGGGGAGACTACCCTGTGAAGACAGGCACAGAAGTTGGAATGATGCATCTACAGGCCAAGAAACGCCAAGGACTGCCAGCAACCTCCAGAAGCTGGGGAAAGAGGCCTGGAAGAGACTCTCCCACAGAGCCTCCCAGAAGGAACTAATTCTTCCAACACCCTAATTTCTGACCTCCAGCCTCCAGAACTGTGAGCTAGTAGGTTTCTGTCATTTTAAGCTGCCCCAGTTTGTGGTAATTTGTTAAGGTAGCCCCAGGAAACTAATACAGTCTCGTCACAATGGACAAAGACGGGTGTCCCCATTTTACGAATCACCCTGTCACCTCACTCTTCTACTGCCTAAGAATTTCTCTGTAGATTTACGTACCTTTCCTCCTTCCGATCTTAGAGAAACAGCACCTCTCCACCTTCAGAACAGCCCTCCGTCCTATGGATAGAATCTTTGCACCCCCTCCATGTACATAGCCCCCCCCCCCCCCCCCACACACACACACACGGTCTCCCTCTGTGCTATGGCTCAGGCCTCCCTCCCCTTTGCCAAAAAACAGGCCTGCATCTCCCCATTCTCAAAGGCCCCCTTTCCCTCTCTCATGTCCTCAGGAAAGAACCAGTGCCTGGCACCAGAACCTCCAGATGCTCGTGGACCTCATAGCCCGTGGTTGGTGCTTTGCAATCTACCTTCCGAAAACAACTCGCCCTAGAAAACTGCTTTCCCCTCCCTTAAACCTCCTGTTGCCAGCCCAAGGCCTTTCCTTCACACCTCCTCCAGCGTCTTCCACCCTGCTCTGCTTCACCCCACCCTGAGAACGTCTTCTCTCTCCCCCACTGGCTCCTTCCTCTCCACAGTGGCTCTTCACCCCTCTTCTCCGCCCACACTCCCTCCCTTTTAAAGAGTAATCACTTTGGAGCAGGACAGACATGAGCTCAGATCCCAATGCTGACACTCACTCCCTAGGTATCCCTGAGCTAGTTACTTAACTTTTCTGAGCCTCCATTTCTGCATCTCAACACTGGGAATAAGCATCACCCTTTGGTGGGGTTACTAGGAGGATTCAGTGATAGGATTTATACAAAGCACTCGCTCAATGCCCAGTATGTGGCAGGCATATAAACCGCATAATGTAGTGCTTGAGCAACTGCTGCAGTCAGAATGCCTGATTTAAATAACAGCTTTGCCCCTTATTAGCTGGGTAACATTGGGTAAACCTTTCTGTGTCTGTTTCCTTGTCTGTAAAATAGGGATATTATCATCAAGAATAATATCAGAGGAGTTAGTGCTCTATCAATGGCAGGTGTCACTGTTCTTTTGGCTTCCACTGTCTCATCCATCTGAGAGGAAAGACTCCCCGTAGCATGTAGCAACTGGTTTTCGACAGATGTTTCTAGGCTCCTGAAAGAATGGTGCGGGCTCCAGCTGAAAGACTTCTACTTCACTTGTATTCAGACGACAGGTAAGGGCAGGAGCCCCTTCTATGTTGTTCTCTGCTGTATTCCCCTCCCACAACGCCTGGCATGTGGTAGGTGCTCAACAGATACTTTTTAATTAAGAAGCGAACATAATGAATGAATGAATGAACAAAAGAGTTTTGCACTGAAGCCCTGCTTCACAAAAATATCTGCTAAAAATGGAAAGATGGGGAAGGGGAGCATCTGAAAAAGGACCAGCATCAGAAGCAACGTGAGAGATGTTCACACCTGCACATGGGAGACAGGCTGGGAGCTCCAGGCAAAGCCTCTACCCCCTGGGGGGCTAAGCAGCAGGACCCCCACCCTTTCCTGCCTTGCCCTGCCCTGCTACAAGCTTGGCCCACCAGACCCAACTAAAGATGACTCTGCTCAGAAATACATTCCCCAGCTTAGTGTAGCCTTGAGGGAGGTCACGGCCCCCTCCCAGTTTCTGCAAGCACAATCCTGCCGGGAGCCTTAACCCTTTGATACAGAGCCCATTCTTCACATTGCAACTTAAATGTTACCTGCTTTAGGAAGCCAGACACGCCTTCCTGATCTCCTCTCAAAAGGGCTAGATACCTCTGCTCCTAGCTATCACTGCAATGTTTTACCTCCCCTTTACTAACATTTATCAATGTGTATTCCTCAAGTTGCCAGTTTACTTCTCTCTAACCCCTTGGTGCACAGAATGCACCCTCGCAAAGATGTCCATGCCCTAGTCCCCAGAAGCTCTGAATATGAAATGTGTTACGTTACACGGCTAAAGGGACTGTGCAGATGTGATTAGAGTTACAGACTTTGAAATGGGGATCGCAGCCTAGATTATCCAGGTGGGTCCAATCTAATCATACAAACCGTTCAAAGCAGAGGATTTTCTCAGCCTGGAGGCAATAGAAGGGGAAGTCGGAGAGATATCCAAGCACAAGAAGGATTTGACATGCCATTGCCAGCTGAGATGTAGGCGTCCACATGCAAAGGGGGCAGAGAGAAGGTCTAAGGAGCAAAAGGCAG